GGTTTAGTTTGTTCACTCACACTCAGCGTATTGCCTTGTAGCTAATGATGGCATTAATGTTCAACCTGTGGCTTGCTTTGCTTTGGTTAGGTTTCCTCACTTATACTCAGCGTATTGCCTTGTAGCTAATGATGGCATAATGTTCAACCTGTGGTTTGCTTTGCTTTGGTTTAGTTTGTTCACTCACACTCAGCGTATTGCCTTGTAGCTAATGATGGCAATTTGTTCAACCTGTGGTTTGCGTTGCTTTGGTTTGCTCACTTACACTCAGCATATTGCCTTGTAGCTAATGATGGCATTATGTTTAGCCTGTGGTTTGCTTTACTTTGGTTTAGTTTGTTCACTCACACTCGGCGTATTGCCTTGTAGCTAATGATGGCATAAAGTTCAACCTGTGGTTTGCTTTGCTTTGGTTTGGTTTGTTCACTCACACTCAGCGTATTGCCTTGTAGCTAATGATAGCATTATGTTCAACCTGTGTCTTGCTTTGCTTTGGTTTGGTTTGTTCATTCACACTCAGCGTATTGCCTTGTAGCTAATGATGGCATAATGTTCAACATGTGGGTTTTGGTTTTCTCATATACACTCAGCTTATTGCCAGTGTCTTCCGCAAGAGAACCACCTTCTTCGACACCACCCCGGTTGGCAGGATCCTTAATAGGTTCAGCAAGGTGTGTATAGTTGATTCTATTCAACCAATAGGATATACAATAGGTTTAGCATGGTGTGTGTTGTTGATTCTATTAACAGGATATTCAATAGGTGTAGCAATGCGTGTGTAGTTGATTCTATTCAGCAGGATATTCAATAGGTTTAGCAAGGTGTGTGTAGTTGATTCTATTAATAGGATATTCAATAGGTTTAGAACGGTGTGTGTAGTTGATTCTATTAACAGGAAATTCAATAGGTTTAGCAAGGCGTGTGTAGTTGATTCTATTAACAGTATATTCAATAGGTCTAGCAATGTGATTTGATTAAGTGACTTAGACATGCTATATAGCTTGTAAGAATCATTACATTGCCAATAGCTTTTATTTGATCGATCAAGTGACTAAGACATGCTATATAGCTTATAACGTGATTAGCTATGTTCCCATATATAGAATAATTGCTATAGTGTAAGGATATATATATATATATGTATAGAATGGCAGCTTTGGTGTATGTAGCCCTACCCAATTCGATTTAGGGCCATTAGAGACACCGTCTACACCTACCTATTATTCCCTACCCATTACGCGTACCTACTGGACTGAACCTATACCGAGTCCTTTTCTTATTTGGTCCTTGCTCCTGTACCGCGTACAACATGGGTGCACGTTCTCCTACCAGCATCCACCGGACTTACCCGCATCTCGTGGTTGAACATTCATCTCAGGACACCGACCAAATCGATCATTACCTACCTACCACTTTCGAGCACTGGATGGGGACCATGGCCGGCGTCATCTCCATTCTGATGCTGATCTGTGTGGTCTTCCCATGGTTCCTAATCGCCTTCTTTCCCATTATTATTCTGTATATGGTACTGCAGCAGTTCTATCGCAGATCCAGTCGAGGTGAGAGTGTTCTACTGTATGGGTGTATGTATGTATGTATATACATATATATGTGTGTGTGTGTGTGTGTGCGTATGCATGTATATATGTATGTATGTATGTGTGTGTGTGTAGGTGTGTGTGTGTGTATTTATGTGTGTGTGTGCGTATGTATGTGTATATATGTGATATGTGCGTGTATGTATGTATGTGTGTGTGTGTGCGTATGTATGTATATATGTATGTATGTGTGTGTATATGTACGTATGTATGTATGTATGTATGTATGTATGTATGTATGTGCGTATGTGTGTATGTGTGTAAGTGTGTATCTACGTCTTGTCACTTTATGTGCCTTGTCACTTCACCGTCTTGTGGTTGTCTTATCTGTTATCCTCAGCTGCTATTCACTTGTGTGACCAATCGGCGTTCGTCTGTCTTCCTCTGATTTGTGTTCTATCGTTTGAGTGTCTATCACTTTCTTCCCATCCCATTATCTATACCTTACTGTTTAATATGTACCATTCCTTGCCTTAGAAATCCAACGGCTGGAGTCGACATCGCGCAGCCCCATCTATCAGCACTTCAACGAGACACTGAGTGGTGTGGCCACTATTCGCAGCTACAAACAACAGGACCGGTTCATCGCATTTAACAGGAGAATGGTAAGCTGCTGCGTGTGGTGTCACCATCTGTTTCTTGCCTACACCCTTATATGGGTTTTCTAACACCCTAAACCCCTACTCTCGCTGCCGTCCGTGTCAGGTGAATGTGCGAGTATTACATGATTTATACCGAACAATATCACGCATGTGCCTAATTACACGCTCGTGGCTTCCTCCACTGCGCTTTCTCTGTCTGTCGTGGATAGGTAAACATCAACAACAGAAGTTACAACATCCTTCAGATTGGCAATCGCTGGCTGCAGCTGCGCCTGGAATTGTTAGGGCTGGTGGTCATGCTCTGTGCGTCCTTCTTCTCTGTAACTGGCCGAGCGTAAGTTCCGGTTTGTTTTTAGTTTTGGTTTTGGTTTTGGCTTTGTGTTTGGTTGTGTTTTTGGTTTTTGGATTTTGATTTTGTTGTTGGTTTTGTTTCTGTTTGCTTTTCATGGCTGTGGTACATGTCTACCTCTGTGAGCTTCGAGAACTAACCTCGTTCGCAGCTATTCTTTGTATCTGTTCTTCGTTCGGTTTTGTCTTGAGCATCACCCATACATTCTCACACGTAGACATTAGACACTTTAATTATATATATGTATATGTATGTATATGTATA